CTGACTCCAGCTTCCTGTTGGCCAACGCTCAGATAGTCGACTACCCCATCGTGTATTGCAACGAATCTTTCTGCAAGATTGCTGGCTACAACAGGGCCGAGGTGAGTCTTCCTTCCTATGACTTTCTTGTGACCTTCCTGTGACCCTCTTGTGACTTTTCTGTGACCTTCCTATGCCCTTCCAGTGGCCATCCTGTGACCCTCCTGTGACGTTCCTGGTGCCCTCTGACCTTTCTATGACCCTCCTGTGACCATCCTGTGACCCTGTGGCCCTCTTGTGACCTTCTTGTGACCTTCCTGTGACATTCCTGTGACCCTCCTGTGACATCCACTCATTCAACTTCTCTTTTAAATGTCACACAGTTATTTTTCTCAATAACGACTGTGATTAACATGTTTTAAACACCTGTACTTACCGATAATGATCGTATTGCTGCTACTTTACGTCTTCCATGCAGGTGTTTCCCCTCACACACGTGTTTATTTGCCTAGGCAGGTGTTTCCCCTTAACACGTGCAAATTTGTCTAGGCAGGTATTTTTAGGTAAATGTAAATAATATAGATATTGTTTTAGGTTCATGCAGGTGTTTTTTTTATTTCAAGTAAATGTTTTTTTGTTCAGTACCGGCGTTGGGGTGTTTATGCAGGTGTTTTCTTCACTCAGGTGTTGTTTAGTTAAAGTAGGGGTTTGGGCAACTAGGGTATTGTATGATTAATGCAGGTTTTTTATTTTGGTCAGGGCAAGGTTAGTTAGATTACTGTGGTTCACGCAGGTGTTGTATGTTCCAATCAGGTATTTGGTTAATATTGATGTAAGTTTGTGATGAATGGTTTTGAAAACCGACAAGTTGAAGATTGAGACACTTATGCACCATATGGGAATCTTTATTTAGGAAACGTTTCGCCACACAGTGGCTTCATCAGTCCAATACAAAGCAGAAAGGTGCAAGGAGAGATGGAGATTGAGGTAATCAGTTCCTCAGCCTGGAGTCGATGTGTTCAGTCCATCAATCTTGTAGAATGTACAGCAAAGGGCCGTAGACGTGGCTTATATACTGTAGTGAGGTGAGGCGAAGCAGGGGGAGGCGGGGTCATAGTGGTACCATCCACTAGTCGAAGTAGGTCTTCGTCCAAAGGTAGGACAAGTTGGAGAATTCTTTGTATCGAGATCCCATGATGATGCAGTGTCTGACAGTTGTGATGAATGTTTTTGTAAGTTTGTTAACGCAGGTGTTTTTTGTTATAATCTAACGCAAGTATTCCCTCATAATATAATATTTCTCGTGTAATATTTAAATGGTCGACATTGTTAGGTAATATCAGACTCTTATTTTCAGTTATTATCATTTTAGTCAAATAATAATCGGCTCCTGGAGGGCAAAATGTTGTCACAGTAAAATGTCTGAGGAAATCTTCACACAGTGCGAAACGTTGTTTGGGTTAAAAGTTATTTTTTGAACGTTTTAGATGCAAGATGTTATATTGATAGCTATGAGATAGCAAGAAAGAATAGATGGTAGATAAGACACATATGAGAATAAATTGAGAGTGGATGAGTAAGTCACAGGTGCAACAGTTAGTTATTCTAATCATGAAACGTTTCGCCCACACGGCAGGCTTCTTCAGTTGAATACAGACGTAACTGAACACGGAGACAGTAGCTGTGGCATATATATATATATATATATATATATATATATATATATATATATATATATATATATATATATATATATATATATATATATATATATTATATATATATATATATATATATATATATATATATATATATATATAGTTCCTTGATAATGTGAGTACTCACGAAAGCGCTTGGAATTTCTCTTTCTTTCAGAGTGGTTGTTTTGCATATTTTGAAATCACCTGTTTACTGTGATCTTATTGCATATATATATGTAATATATATATATTATATATATATATATATATATATATATATATATATATATATATATTTTATATATATATATATAAATATATATGTATATATATATATATATATATACATATACAGTATTTACTCGCATTAAAAATAATTTACCAGTCAATTACGAAGTCATTCGTTACCTGTCTTGAATGTAAATGACCGTACGAACTACGTCATTATTTTCCCTCAGTGGTATGTTGCAGTATTTTCGATGCTCAGTGCTGGGGAAGAATTGCAGTGCATAGTTATTTATTACTGTTGCATTCACTGCAACATGTATTTAAAATGAAGGCATTTTAGATGGAAGCGGTGGGGGGTTGATGTGGGTTGGGGAAGGTGGGGGTTGATGTGGGTTGGGGAAGGTGGGGGGTTGTTGTGGGTTGGGGTAGGTGGGGGGTTGTTGTGGGTTGGGGTAGGTGGGGGGTTGATGTGGGTTGGGGAAGGTAGGGGGTTGATGTTATGAAGCTTAGAGGCGGAAGATGTTGGGAAGGGGAGGTGTAGAGGGTAGATACAAGTAGTTGGAGGAGGTAGATAATGGGAGGCGGAGGAAGAGAGGGGTAGGGAAATCAAGTAGGGAAGAAATAAAAAGAGAGATAAGAATAGGAAGAATTAATATAGGAAAGCAAAAACGAGGAACAAATAAGAATGAGTGAATGAGGCGAATTAGATCCAGTATCATAGTGTTAAGTTGTATGAAAATCATACACAGTGTTATACAACAGTGTAACACTGCCAGGTAATACTGCCAGGTAATACTGCCAGATAATACTGCCAGGTAATACTGCCAGGTAATACTGCCAGGTAATACTGCCGGGTAATACTGCCAGGTAATACTGCCAGATAATACTGTCAGGTAATACTGCCAGATAATACTGCCAGGTAATACTGCCAGGTAATACTGCCAGGTAATACTGCCAGGTAATACTGCCAGGTAATACTGCCAGATAATACTGCCAGGTAATACTGCCAGGTAATACTGCCAGGTAATATTGCCAGGTAATACTGCCAGGTAACACTGCCAGGTAATACTGCCAGGTAATACTGCCAGGTAACACTGCCAGGTAACACTGCCAGGTAATACTGCCAGGTAATACTGCCAGGTAATACTGCCAGGTAATACTGCCAGGTAACACTGCCAGGTAATACTGCCAGGTAATACTACTAGGTAATACTACCAGGTAATACTGCCAGGTAATACTGCCAGGTAATACTACCAGGTAATACTACCAGGTAATACTGCCAGGTAATACTACCAGGTAATACTACCAGGTAATACTGCCAGGTAATACTGCCAGATAATACTTCCAGGTAATACTGCCAGGTAATACTGCCAGGTAATACTTCCAGGTAATACTGCCAGGTAATACTGCCAGATAATACTTCCAGGTAATGCTGCCAGATAATACTTCCAAGTAATACTGCCAGATAATACTTCCAGGTAATACTGCCAGGTAATACTGCCAGGAAATATTGGTCTCTTCCACTAGGTTGAAGAGGCCAATACCTCAATAGCAGAGCACTCAACTTAAAACCGAAGGTACCAGGGTTCGACATCCCAGCGGGACGAGACCAACAGTCTAACCTACTATCCTTATCCACGTAACGGTATGTAGGCACCTGGATGTTAGTCGACTGTTGTGTGGGTGGCACCCTGGGGAAGGGTGATTTAATACCTCAGATATTGCTGGGATTTGAAATGACCTGAGATATGATAACAGCTGACAGCATGTACGAAAAAGATCACACAGGCCTCCGTGCTGTGGCTCTCAGCACACACGTCTCCGTGCTGTGGCTCTCAGCACACACGTCTCCGTGTTGTGGTTCTCAGCACACACATCTCCGTGCTGTGGCTCTCAGCACACAGATCTCTGTGCTGTGGCTCTCAGCACACACGTCTCCATGCTGTGGCTCTCAGCACACAGGTCTCCGTGCTGTGGCTCTCAGCACACAGGTCTCCGTGCTGTGGCTCTCAGCACACACGTCTCCATGCTGTGGCTCTCAGCACACAGGTCTCCGTGCTGTGCACACAAAAACATTGATCTTGCAGTGATCACCACAGTGCTGACAGCCACCAACAAGTGTATATCAGCGCTGGTGTAAAACTCACAGGACTATTGTTGTGTCACAACACAGCTCAAACAATAAACGGCTCTGGTTTGATGTTCTTGTGGATAGTGTTTGTACATAAAATTTTATTTATGGGAGGAAAAATGAAAAATTGATTTTATTGTAAACGTATCGTCATGTTGCTGTTCTTGCTACACTCAAATCTACATACGAACATCTACACTCACACTCTACATACACACTCTACATCACACGTCTACAACTACACTCTATACACTCACACGTCTACACTCAACTCTACACCACACTCTATACACTACACACTCTAAATCGTCACAATCTACACTATCACTTAACACATCTAACACGCTAAAACAGCTATCTACAATCATACTATCTACATCAACACTCTAAACTACACTATACATATACACTACATCACACTTCTACACTACACATCTACAATTCAACACTCATACAAATCAACAACTCTACACCAACATCTACATCACACTTTTAACAACTCTACACACACATACACGAACAACTACAAATTAACATTCACTCTAACAACTTGCAATCAACTCTACACTACACACTACACTCACCACTCATACACTCACAATCTAAAATCACACTCTAATACATCACACTTTCGTACAAACACATTACTCACAATCTACAGCTAACACTACTAACATCACACTTAAATCTACACTCGACACTTTACTACTACACTCTACACTTACACTCTAACACTCACACTCTAATCACAATACTAAAACTACACTTCTACACTCACATCTCTACACTTCAACTTACACACACATTATACACTCATACATCACAATACAAATTACACCTAACACTACACTTTTAACTCACAACTTACAACACTACAATCTCTCATACTAAACACACACTCTACACTCATACACTCTACACTCACAATCATAACTCTACCTACACTTACTACATCACACTAACATCACAATCTAACAAATTACACTCTTACTATACTCTACACTCACAACTCATACACTCTACACTCACAACTAACTTAACAACTTATCATCACACTCTACAT